CCGTACTTGCAACATATTTTATTTTCAATTTTTTATTTTTTAGGCTGTGAGCCAATCGGTATCTTTTTTTCATATGGTAAAATTAGGTGTGAAAAATTTTACAATTTGCTGTGCCTAATGAAGCTGAAAATTTTGACGTAAAAGAAATAAAAGCTCATGAGGAAGTCGCATATAAATATATATTGAAAAAAATAATAAAATACAAAGAAAATACTTTTATTTGCTAGTTTCTCCACCAATAAAACAAAAGCAATGACTTCAATTTATAATTTGTGGTTAATTCAGACTTTTAGGCAACGGACCAATCGCCAGGTAATACTGGCGTCAAAACAATTATATCCGGTGATGAAAGGAAAACTCGGGCACATTTAAGAATTTTTTGCAGCACGTTCACAAAAATTGTCCAATTAATTCCCACAATACATTACGAATATAAAGTTATTTAATGTTACGGTCAATAGTGGCTGTCGAAATTTATAATCTGCACCCGATTGGCACACAGCCTTATGCTGCAACTACTCATTTTACTTACCATCCGCCCATAACAGTCGACTGGAAGAGCGTGATACATACACGAGTTATCGACGCTACTGAGAGCGGCGAAATGTTGCCAGCTGCCAGTGTATTAGCACACTTTTGAACAAATTTATAATTTTCGTCAATGACTTTCATATTTTATATGTTTGAAAAAATTAATTACGATTTGGTTTTCATTTCTTTTGAAAAAAAACTACGCATTTTCTTACTTTATTTGATATTATCTTAAAAAAGTCAATACTGGCAACTTTGTATTGCAACGAAAAATGAGCCGAGCCGGTTTTACGGATAAAATCAAATCGCCATTGGTTTCTGCGGGACAACCGTCACTAACGGCATGGACAAGCGGTGTCAACTTTGTATTTACATGGCGCTCTCATAGGATAGGTTGCTATGGATGGAAGGTATGTAAGATGAGTGGTTGCAGCATTATTCTATTTTAGGCATTTCCCGGGAAGCACCGATGTGTGTAAAATTGAAAACAAGTGCAACAACAAAGTTCGGAGCAGTACCGACTTGTACCGACAGTTTTGATGTGACTTCAGCTCGTTGCGTTGCCAAAATGGCAAAGAAAAAGTTAACACTGTTAACAATTTCCAATAAATTGAAAGCAGGATTTTCTGTCAATCATATTCATAAGTAAAATTTATAAAAAAATTTTACTGATATTCTTGTTGTCTACAAATGGGATAAAAGTGTTGGGATGGACCAAACATTTGACACATCATCCAGAAGAGTGCACATCATTTTACAACAAAAAGAAATTTTAATATAAAATATCTTTAACAGGTTAAAGAGTTTCTTCGTAGCTAAAATCTTCCAGAAAAACCGATTCTACTTATAGATGATTTAACTCCTTGCCATCCCAAAGAAGATGAGTTAAAGAGTTCCGATGGTCATAGTATTGTATATCGATAATGTGTTTACCACCAATATGTTCAGCATTAATACAGCCAATGGAACCCCTTCGGGTTAGGGGTTCAAGAATTTCCCCGTGGTAAGGCATGTCTGTCGTATGAAGCGACTAAAATCCAATAGATCTTTTTTATCCGGCCAAGGACTGTCACTCCCGCAACATTCCCCAAAATGTACTTTGTAGAATATTTTTGTGATTAAAACAACAGCAACAACAAAAGTGTATCAACTTACATTGTTGGAAAAATTGTAGATGAGGCTTTAAGAAATATCAATCTGAAGAATGAAATATACTTTTTAGCAAATGCACTTAATTACCTTCAATTCAATCATCCTTTCAAAAGCTGTTTGAAAAGGCATCAGAATGGGATAGTGAGGTTATCATTCCTCTTTCTAATTTAAGCTTACATATTGCTAATGATGCACCTAATATTCAGCTCATTGCAAAGCTCCTTCAGGAGCCCTTGGAGGGAACTACAAGTTCAGAAATTGAGCAATGAATTGATTGACCAAGCTTACGGTAATGAAACTAAGGAATGGAGGTGACTCCAGCTTTCACCATTTACTTGGATTGGGCGGAGTAAAATACCGCTTCCTTAAAAGTTCTTATGGCGCTCCAGAGGCTTTGGAGCAAGTCAAATTCACATTAAAAATTTTTTGAATGGCATATGAAAATTTATCAATTTTTTTTACTACAAATGAAATTTTGTTTTTCTTGTTGTAAAAAACCTTTACAATTTGTATGAAAAAAATGGCTCTGTACTAGCAACAACCTCAAAACATGCACCGATGCCGGTTTACATTACAATCAAGAATCGAGTTTATACTACATATATACTCATATATAAAATATGTATGCAGTTTATATATGTACGAGTATAAGGTGTCGGATACTTAAAGAAACCACATACATTTTCTTAAGACCTTCTCACTAGAACTATCTGAAAGCTGGTCAAAAAGGCTATCCTTACTTCGCGAACGTTCAGTATCTATTTGACCCCACCAACCCCCTGACAGAAATGATCCTTGCCCCACTAAAAAGCACAAAAGGAAAGCAGATGTCTTTTTCAAGATTATTACCCACAAAACGCGTGATTTACAAATTTCAAGAGAAATTATTAATGGCAAATCAGCCTTACACCCTGAGGTGTGGTGTCGACGTTGCCTGTCGATATAATTTGAGAAATTCTTATTTTAGTCATTGAATCCACGTCCCTCTAACTCACAACAAGCACTGCTCTCCACACACTGCCGATTATAAACTTGTCAGCAAAAGAAAACTATATAAGGAAAACGAAAAGAAAATAAAAAAAAAACAGACAATTAAAATTTCACTCATTTAAGTGATTGGCTTCAAATCAAATCTTCTCGCTGTCAAAGTAAATCAAATCCCCAAGTGAACCATCCAATAATTGTTGTCTTCACTCTAGTTGAAATGGCAACGTTCGAAGAGAAGCAGGAAAGTGGCAGATGTTAAAACGAAATGTGTAAGTGGCCCACGCGAAGTTGTTTGCCACATCTGCGAAAAAGGTGGGAGAGAGTGGCAGAGGGATTAGAGATGCATGTGTATGTATATGATACATAAATATATACGCACAGCTGACAATACGGACTAAGAGGCAAATAGAGAATTTGCAAGTGGAAGTAAAGATGTTGGCTAAAGCAGTTTAAATTTGCTTTCTGTTGTTGCTGTTTTTGGTGCTGCAGCTAAGGCTAACTGATGTTGATGCCACCGGCAATCTTATTGTTATGTTGGCAATTAATATTATGTTATTGTTGTTGTTGTTATTTTTTGTTACTATTGTTATTTTATATGCTTATACACATATATATTTATACGTATGTACATTTGTATGTACAAACAAGATATGTAGGTTACAACGGTTACTTTATCGAAATCGGTATTGAATGCGAATAATTGAGTTTGAATTTAATTATCGGAACAGAGTTTGAAGTTGGAACAACACTTTCAGCAAGAAACCATTCACTTTACGAAATTTCGCTTAAAAAGCTTGTCCAAAACAAAGTTTGTAAAAATAATATTATATATCGGAACCGTTATCGAGAGTATAGACGAAAACCCGAAGCTCTATCCCTGATACTCCCTTAATAACCACTGAAGCCATTTTCGGCTGAGCTCCTCCTCAAGCCTCTGACGTGTATCTTAATGCTTTTTTCTAAACCATCTCCGAAGGACTAATGGAGCTTATGAGGAGCCTACAAAAAGGCGATTACAATTAGATTATTTTTCTATAATTCTGGATTTGAACCCATTACGCTCTGAATGGCAGCATGCATTGCTAACGGCGGCCGAAGTGGCCGAGTGATTAGCATTTCATCCTGCCATTCGGAAGGCCCGGGCTCAAATCCTAGTGCGACCAACATCTACAATTTATAGAAAACTTATTTAAATAAAAAATTAAGTTAAATTTTCAAATAGCGGTCGTCTCTCGACACCCCTCCGACTGTCATTCTGGCATGAAATTAACGCTCCTCTTAAAAAAAAAAAAAAACCTCAGCCGTTCGGAGGCAGCTTATTATAAAATTTGGCTCCCTCCATTTGTTGGAAAAACATCACGGCGCAAAAAAAACAACAGATTGGAGGAGGAGCTCGGCCGAAAATCGCTTAAACGGTCACAAAGTGCCAGTTATATATATATTGCTAACGACTAGACTACTCTTCAGCTGTCTGCTTTACCAATTGGTGGTGATCTAACTGTGAAGAATTTTTTGGTACCAGCGCCTCTATAGCGAATCGAGTTTGAGCTGGAGGTTTATAATCAGCGGACATTCGGATCTTTCGAGCCCAAAATGAATTCGTCTATCTGTACCTTGAAGTATTATGAAGGAGCCAGTACAATATCTATTAAATATGAATCTGCTAAATTTTGTAGAGATTAGAGCTCTATGTCTTTGCGGACGAGCAGCTCAAGAGAGAGAGAGAACGTATTCGGGCTAGACGAATGTATTCCAAAAAAAAACTTCAGCACCCCTAGGAATGTCAAGAAAGGAAGTTCGATGGCAACAGCACTTTCAAAGCATTTAAGCCGGAGTTATCTGAGGACATAAAAGGTATAATAATTCTAGGCAATAGCTTTACTGTCCTTAACCTCGCTTTTAACATACTACCTTAGGTCACCAACAGGCACTGTGCCGTGCTCTACCCACAACGCCTTAGTTAAAGTGAGTTTAAGGGCTATGTAAAAGCTGCAGGGAAATCGGCAATAAAACAACCTTAATCGGAGCGACAGTTCGAGATGTCAGCGAAGTAATTTTGCCGGAGAGCAGTCTAAATCGAATATCTTAAATTTACTAAAAAATCCATCTAAACTCAACAACTTATTCTGTTGAAGATATCGCAAATCTCAGCATGACGCATAGAACGACAGTCCCAAATTTGAAAATCTTACGGTGTTGGATTTAAGTTTACGAAGTTTTGAAATTATTCGACCGCTCAGAGTCGAGATAGAAGATCCGTTACACACCTAATACATAGTACATACATATTTATATTTATTCAAGTGAAGCTAGTGATCGCTACTACTTACTTGCCAACGCCAGAACCAGCATTGTGATGACCAGTGGCAAAAGTTTGAGTTGAGTGATGCTGCCACTTCGCGTATGCCTGCGATAACAGGTTAACCTGTTGCAATGACTTTGTTTATGGCAGCTGCAATTGCCGCTGGTGCCATTCATGCCCACTACGATGTTGTTGCTAGTGTCTTGTTGCCGCACGAGATCACGGTGCACTTGTTTCCCCCAAGACATGTTGTCGGCGGCGTTGCTGTTGTTGTTGTACTGATCGTTGCTCTGTTGTTTGGATTGGCTCTTGTTGTGGCAGCTGAAATTTCTTGTTTGCTTTCTGTTTTGCGTTGGTTGTTGATGTTGAGTTTGTTGTCGGTTTATTTTTTTTTTTTTTTTTTGCTTCAACGATTATTACTATTGCCGGTAGTTGATTGTTTCATTTATTTATTTATTTCTTTTGTAGTGTTTTGGCAGCGCTTCTTAGTCAATGAAAGACGGTCGTGTTTCCTTAGGCTACTCGCAGTTCCGTAGCGAGTTCAATCGTCGTAGTGGCGCCGGAAGATCGATCAGAAGGATCAATGGCGTCCAGAAGTGACCGTGACTGGTAGGGACAAAGAAAATGTCGGCTGAAATCGGTTGAATTTACATTGACAATGGCGAATTTGTCAATGTCAATGAGTCCTTTTATTAAAGTTTGTCTTTTCAAGAATGCCCCGCCCAAAAGCGGCAGCTCCAACGCGACTCGCACGAAATCTCACTAACAGTCAAATCGCGCGAAAGTGAAATCAAAAATCACGTACTATCTATCAGCCATTAATGCCTTATGCAAACGCCACGAACACCTTGGCCACGCCAACTTTACGCACTTTACTTTACTTTCGGATATGAAAAAAATATTTAGTTGAAATCGTCTAGCTTCTACTTTGTATCACTTTTACTATGTACACATTCTTTTTTGCTTTCTACCGTTTCATCCTCGTTATGTCTGCTCTTATGCATAAAGCATGGTTAGAAAGAACATGAAAACCAAAAAAAAAATCTTTCCCAACTTCGAACTGATCGCGTCCAATACACGTGAAGAACTGAAATTGAAACTGATTTTGAGAACTGAAATCAACTTTTCCTCAACATTGAGAACCACAAATACATACATACATTCCGATAAATATATATATGTATGAATGCGCATACAGATACTCCAAGGCATCGGCCAACATAAAACTCAGCTGCTAAAACAACAACAACAGTAAAGAAACACATACACATCCCGTCATTCCACTGCAATCTTCAATTCGGGACCGGACCATGTGCATTGAACACATACTTCTATACAGACCGTAAGACATTTATCAATGTGTATGCCTTGCCTGCATGTCGTCGGTATGTACGAGTGTGGCTCTGTGTGTATACTTGACTATTCATTGGCATTGTCTTCTTTTCTGCAGTTTTTCTTTTTTTTTTTGTTTTGTTTCTTTTTTTCTGTCCTCGATCTTCAACGTTCGCCGACGCCGCTTATGCTCAAGTAGGCTGGCTCGTCTAACCTGAGCCAGTCGGCTGTGCAGGCAGGCTGTTGGTGTTGTGCGCTGTGCATCGGTCTTCGAGCCTCGTGCGTCGTACCTACACTGTGTGCTATGCTATCTTTGTGGGTAATTGTATTTGCTTTCTACTCAATCCCGCAGCGTAGAAAGACGTGCTCATGGTCGCGCTCCTTCCTTCTGCCTTCGGTCGATCATCGTTTGTGCGGATATGTGCATGGCTTTTTCGTACTGAAAAATACGTGTGCAGAGTCAATACATTAATATGTGGTTATTATTGTAGTTGCAATGTGTTTTTCTATTTATTAATTTGAAAAAAAAAAGCATTAGGTTGTCCCACTAGATCAGATATGAACAATGTTTTGAAGGTGTAGAATTGTAAGTGGGGCTTTATGGCCGCTTAAGGGATTTTTGGGCCCATAACTTTTGCTAACTCACTTAAGAAGGCCGTTGGGAAATGCTTTTGATTCCAAATCAGATATACACTTGGAGGCGAGGAGCCAGGCGAGGAGCAACGTCAATTAGAAACAAATTATATATGTTTTGGTATTAATCCGGCCAAGAATCGAACCACATTTCCATACTGCTAACCACGGTCGTCGTAGAATTCTTGTATAAGCAGAAAGTAAGCTCGATCTAACATAACCTCAAACCCGTTTCATATTTTCTTAAAGTATGTAGTATGAAAAGCGAAATGAAATATTTCGAAACAATCTTAGCCAGAAAACTGTCCGGTAAGGCAAGCAGTGGGAAAGAAGAAAAAAAAACATGGAACTGTGGTTAAACCTTTTTTTTAAGGAATTCTTGTATGATGCAAAAGAGTTACACCAGCTAAGCAACTAGAAATCATTCAGTGCATTGTTTTTATTAGAATCTCCAAAATTGACATTTAGGGTTGACAAATCGGCTGGTGAGGCGTCTGAATCTCGGGTAAACTCGACCCTAGGACATTTCGACTTGACTACATTCCCAGCTACGTATCTCTGGCCATAATCCCTTTACAGACCGACTGCGGGAACCACTCGTGGAGTAGATCTTCAAGATTATTCACAAATGAATAAAAATTTGTTGGAAATGTCGGCTTATAAGTCGTACATCAAGAAGTATCTATCGAGCATTGCAATTCACTCAGGTAGAGATTTCTACTATTCAAAAAAAAAATTTCAATATTTATCTAGATGGATTCACTCGCGGTGTCCCCAAAAATTGTGGGGAAATTACATTGCGGATCAACTGGAGCACACGTATGGCTACCACGGCTTCGGGTAAAATACAAGTAGCTATTCTTCTCACATTATTAAGTCTGCTTCTGGAAAAATGGGTTTTGAACCTTCCCAACGAGCGCTGTGATTGCACCCCCATTTGAGCAGTTGAGACTAGTTTCTGGTTCCGCTTTGAGCTGCTATTAGTAAAAATTATCAGTGTTGCACTATTTTTTCCAGACTGATTGCATATTTTTAGATTTGGAAGGTCCGGCTAAAGAGTATACGATTCTTTATCGGCAAAATATTTCCCTTCCCCCCAAAAATTAAGTTTCCCGAGTTAACTTTTTTATACTTTCATACCCGGCTGCACTGTGTATGGTACCATTCGCCTGTTAAGCATTAAGATATTTTTATAAAAACTTAGTAACACATTCCTTGGATCACAAGTACGGATGCAATTTCAAATGGATGAAATCGGACCAAGCTCATGTCAATCTTCAACATATTGATAATTTTGAAAAGTACTAAAAAGTAACTAAATTTTTTTTTTTTTCAATAAAGCCATTATTTTTGGGGATACTAAGAGAGATGGTAGGATTCCCGACTTTTGGGTCAAAAAGTATTTCTCGAAAACATTTAATAAACTTCTGACACAAAGTAAAAAACCCCACCTCCCATGCCAAATATCAAATGTCTGGTTTCATACGAACTTACACTTCCCTACTTAATTTCATAATAAATTCACTTAAGTCTTTCGACAATAAATCGATCCTCCCTAATATTGATTGAGTGTAATTCTGTTGAATGCATATTCATCATTGCTTCTGGTTTCGCAGCTACTTAAATGGTAGATATGTATATGTACATACATATGTTTGATGTTTTCGAATAAATGCCGCAGCAGAAATTACACAAGTCAATAAATATTGGTTATAAAACATTTTGTATAAATTTAAGTATATTTTGAATTGTTTATTATATTCAACTTATTTCATTTGAACTAATAAATTATGACGGTAAAATGTTTGAATGCTTATTAATTATAACAATTTCTTTGAAAGTAAATCGAACCCTAAATCCCATTGAGAAATGTTTTACAGTTATTAAACTGACCAAAGTTACCAATGCACTCAGTTTCAAGCAAAACAAGCGATTTCAAATTAAATTCGATTTCTACGAATATATCGGCCCCAGTTTAACATCCCTGTCTACGTAAAACTCAGAAAACACCCTCCCAGTTTCATGGCCCTATAATCAGTGGTTTAGGCGTTGGATTGTTTCGCCACTTATGCAAGACTAACCTCTTATATTTAGGTTAAGTAAAAAATTATCCTTTTTTTCGATATCGGTCCCGATACTGCAACAGTCCATCATACAAAATTTCGATTTCGTAGATTTCGATCCGTGGAATGCCATTTGCCGAAAATGTCTACAAAATAATGAAAATCGTCGCGTCTAACTGTCAAGCGAGCACTGTATCGATTGCCCAGGAGCTAAACATTGTACGAAAAACAGTTTGCAACCACTTGAAAAAGGTTGGATGTACAAAGAAGCTCGATGTATGGGTACAACATGGTTTAACAAGAGAAAATCTCATGGACCATATTTCCATTTACAAATGGCTGGAAAATCGTAACAAAATCGACCCATTTCTGAAGTGGATAGTGTTCGGTGATGAAAAGTTGATCACTTACAGCAACGTCAAAGTGAGCGAGCACAAACGGTCTTCAAGCCAATATTGACGTCTGGAAGGTTTTGTTGTGTGTTAGGTGGGCTTGGCAAAGTTTCATACAATATCCCCTATAGCTGCTCACGTACGGCGAAACTTTTAATTCGGACCAACGCGGTCAGCAATCGAGCCGTCTGAAGAAATCAAACGCCCAGAAGCGCCTAGCTTTGGTCAACGGTACGGAAATTGTGTTTCTTCAGAACAACGACACATCACACATATCGATCGTGACTCGCCAAAAGCTCCGAGAGGCTGATTGAGAGGTTCTTATGCACACGCCTTGTAGACCGGAGCTTGCAATTTATATTTTTGGCGAATGATGGCTGGCGAAAAATGGGCCTTAAGAGATGCCTGCGAAAATCGATTGCACAACTTTGTTGCCAATAGGATCAACTCTGAGAGAGGCAAAATGACATTACCCTCAAAATGTCAAAAAGTTATCGAACAAAACGGTGCTTATTATACATAAATCAGATAATTCTAACTGTGGTATATAAATACTTCAATTTAAAGCAGAAGTACAGTAATATTTCCTTTTACTAGACCGTTGTATAGATAATTATTTCGATTACTGTAATGGACAGAATTACTGATAAAAATATTGTTACTTGGCGCTGTAGCACGAGCTTTCGTGAGACAGTTTAAAGCATCTCAAAACTTATTTCAAAAAAAAAAAATTGACAACTTGATGTTAATCGAGTGGTGGGTCCAACTGAGGTGAGGAAAAATCTTTTCAGTGAAGAGCTCCCCCTTAAACAGCGTGTTATATAATATTATAGAGTATCAGTGTTAAATATTTAAGGTTAAATCGCAAATATCAGACTATTTGAGTGTGATTTAATAACCAAATAGACTAATTTCATGGTAGTGGTGCTCTCTATTTAATATTTAAATAATTTTTAAATTAAAATATTAAAATTTAAATTTCTGTACTATTATTTTTTCTTTTGACCGTCAGTGCACCAATCCATAAAAAATTACCTCTATACCTACGATCGCATTCTCAGGCATAAATATACAAACGAGTATGTGTGTATGTACATATCAAAGCCATTTCCAGAGTGTCAGTGTTAAATTTGCTACCAACATAGAATTCTTTGAACGGCGATCGATGTAGAGGATGCCTTACCTCTACTTATTTCACTCACGTTTAGGTAGACAATTTGCTCGCGGCTCCTCTGCTCTGCGATAATCACACCGCTGCGACTCACCTTGTTGTGGAGAGCATACAGAGAGAGAGTGAGAGAGGAGAAAATTCAATGAGTGTTGTTGTTTTTTATTTAAAGAAAAAGAAGTTGTATTTTACTATTCCATAGTTATTCAGCCACACAAACACACACACACACATACATACATACATACACAAATGTTTGTGTAGCACAGTACTTGAGTATTTCTAGCCCAGGGGGTTCCAACTTCTATGGAAATTTGTACGGCATAAGTTTGGACTCAAGTGTTGGACACGTTTTTATTATTGTTTGTTTAATACAATAAAAAAAAGAATTGTTATGCTGCCTGTTGGTTCCCCGATGAATGTATGTATGTATGTATGTATGTACACAGCGCCTGCAGCAGAAGGTAGGAAATTATACAAACAGAAGTTTAGATATATCTAC